AGGATAATAACCGCAACATTTAAAGAGAAATATGAAACAGTGATATACTGTGCATCTTTTCCCTCTTTTTCTATTTTCAAAAATATCCAAAAAATATTAGTACACATACACATGCAAACTTTTTTTTAAGTAGATTCGAATATTAAGAACTAAATTTCTAAATACAATATAATGTATCGATTCTAATTAGAAATATATATTTGCAAATGTTACTAAAATATAAAAAATATTAATGCAGAATGCAATTACAATGTGTCATACACAATGTACGATTATTTCCTCATAGCAAAGTCGTTAAGACTTATCTTCATTATGACGGACGAATCGTAGCGATATCACGATCGATACTTTCTCTCACAGAGGCTCGTTAGAAACATCTGTCGCGACCTGACATAGTCGTTCCTACGTTGCGGCTGCGAAACATCAGGACAATTTCTGTGCATTGTCCTTTTGAATTATTGCTTCTCTCTCTACCCGAATTTTTTCAAGTCCACATATATTCTATGCCATCAATCAACTCTTGATAACAATAATGTTGCGAAGAGTGCAAGTAAATAAATTTAACTACTATTAAATTAATGCTTATTTACATAGCTATTCATAACTATCGGAAGATTTCAATACGTTACGCAAATAATTGTAATCCACGCTTGCGCATTGCGAAACGAGACGCTTCATAACAACATAAATTAGGAAGAAAAGTACTCAAGTAAGTTGACAAAAACTCAACAGGAAATTTGGGACAGCTGTCGACACGGTAGACTAGAAAATCTAGAAAAAGAGCCATGTCGTTAACGGCTAATTTCGGAGCAACTTTTGCCGCGTGCGAGCCTTCCAATATCTCCCAGAATCAAGAATTCTAATTTTCGTTTTTATATTTGATAAGAAGAAATTCAGCGCTGCGTTGTTTTCTAAAAAAAAAAAATGTTAATGAAGATGGTCTGCGTAAGAGATGCTGCAAAGTATACTATAATAGCAATAAAAATTCGATTTTGTAGCTTTGCCTAGATAAATTACGTATTCTTAAAATAACTCTATCATCCAAATTACAATTACAATCAACAAAGGCTGATAAAACAAACGCACATCACGTAAACTAGTATACGTTTCACGTGCTGATATTAATACCGTTGTGAAGTTTGCGAGTATATCAATCGTCCTCTGCACGCGGTCTTTCGCGAGTTTCGGTCGCAGCACGTCGCAGGAGGCCGCTGTGCATGAGAGTGTAAGTGAGATGATGCATGCGTATGTGCGTGCGTGTGCGAGTTCGCGCGCGCGCGCACCCAGAGCACGCACTTACGCACGATCGACGCGGATCGTTCGCTCGTTGTGCGTGGCGCGCTACGTTGCCATGACGACCAGTGGCAGTGCCACGCATTGATCGCAGACTCCCGCTCGCTCGCTCGCTCGGCGGTGCGTGGAGTCGAGTGCGTAGAGACGCGACGGAGAGAGGAGAGGAGAATACGCACGCACATACACACGTCCGAACGCAGCATGTGCGCATGCATGCACGAACGCATGTAGCACGCACGCACGCACGCACGCACGCACGCACGCACGCACGCACGCACACGGCGAGGGCGGCAGCGCGAAGAGGCAGGCATCGGGGATAATGCGCGTACGAAGCGGACACGCTGGGCTTCCTCGCTCTTTGCCAGGCTTTTCTTCGTTTTGTGTTTTACAACGACGATCTAGAACGCGTCGTTTAAGCTATGAACTGTTATTATTCTCGCCTATATACAACGATGATTATTAATTCAGCTCCCTTCTACGTCTTTCGTTTCCCTAGTCTTTAATCAAACACACGTTATACTTTGACATTCTCAGTTCAATCGTTTTGCCTTTACTCTCTAGATTTTTAGTACAGGATAATACGCACGAAATAAAGCAAATACGTCATACCCATATTTGCTCTATTTAACATATTTATTTGTATTAAAATTGATACAGGACTGATAGAATTAATTAACAAAGTTTGGAAAATTGGTTAAATGGTATGACATTTTGTATGCAGTCTGTATTCCGCTTTTTACATGCGGGTGATCTGTTTCAAGTAGAATTGATGTAAACTATTAATTTCAAGATTTATTTCATATTTATCTCCTTCTTCATAACAACTATAAGATAATGACATAAACATAAATTTAATTATTTTTCAACCGCGTGCATATAGCGTTATCACAAAATATAGTCTCTAACAGTTTCAGTTCTGACTTTGAGCGGAACAAGATGCACAAGATATCCCAGTTTTTCTCCACAAAGATACACTTGGAGGTAATAAAATCGCGTCGCGCGATGTCGGCCGGGCAGAAGCGGCAATAGATGGACGAAAGGGTTAGCTTCGAGATTAAAAGGAAGTCACCCCCTGCTCCTCCCTTCTCTTCCATCAATCACAATTATATCCTCTCTCTTTCCCCTGCTATCGTTCATAATTACTGCTCGTGACTTTATCCCGGCGCGGCGCTCGAAGCTGCCGGTCGACCAGCTTGGTGTAACGCGAGAGAAAAAGAGGAAAGGGGAACACGGATGCTTGAAGCGAGATGAAACACCATAGACTTTTGGCACGGAGATTACTGTAAAACTCCCTGTCGGGGGTGGCAAGAATCTCGAGAAGAAAAAAAAAAAGTTTCGACCCCTCCGGCCGTTGTTCTGCCCTCGTCGCGGAAACGGAAACAAAGCCTATATCTCTCTTTAAAAAAAAAAAAAAAATCTCTGCATCGCTGTTTTCGAGCTCGCAAAATTTCTACTCGGACGAACCCAGTGAAATATTTTCTCGAACGCAATTGAAGCGCGATCGCTCGGATGCGTCCTGTTATGCAGTTTCGCTTTCAGTAAATAATGTCATGGTATTCGATGACGCAGAGCGTTCGCGCGTGCACGGTGCATTAAACGCCACCGATGAACTTACGTCACATTAAAAAAATTGTTGCTAAGTACCCAAGGTCGCTTTTTTATGTAAGTTTCGCTCGGGGAAAAAAAATATCATAGGTAAAGTCTGTGCCGTCAGCGCTGACCTTACGCAGTCCTTTTTACGCGCAGAAAAATCTCGATCTCTCCGTCTTCACGTGATGATATTTTCAATTGACAATCAATCGAATCGAGCGATTAAACGACAACATCTAATTAATCTAGCGGTTTCGTGAAATTGTTATTGTGTTGGCGCAACCGCCGTAGGACTGACTGCCGTCGACAAACTTGACCTATCCGATTGCGCGCTCAGGAAATGGCACGGAAGCGGAAATGGGTCAGACATGTGATTTGATACAAGATGTGTATGGTTTTGCACGTCGAAATCGGAATTAATTATGTCTCTCGTCGAATTAATGACACATACATACACATGTATGTATATATTAGGTGTTGGAATTAATTCGTAGCGTTTTACAAGTGATGGGAAGTACTTTCATTTTTTTAAACGAGTCCACATCATTTGCGCGGTCCATGTGCTTCGCTCGTCATCTTGCGACTTGGTAGGGATCAAAGGTGGGCTTCCTCTTCCTGAAACGTGACATCTGGACGCCGTGAATCGACTCGGAATCTCGATTTAATCTCGCCGAGGCTCCAGATGCGAGGCAAACCGCTGTAAATTATCGCGGTACCATTTGGCGTTTATCTACGCACAGCGAGTACGAAAAAATATTCTACCTTAAAAAAAAAAAAAAAATCATAATACTTTTACAATTGGTTTCCGATTATAAAATTATGGACTAGTGAATCATAGAGTCAAACGCGAGATATAGCACGTGAGATAAATTGATGAATCAAACGTGAAATATTACACTTGAGATAAATGATAAAGTATTTATAACAGTTTGAAAATTTCTCGCAAGTAAGATTTCTTTTAATTAATACATTATCCTTCGCTCCATATATACTGTACGCTATCGCAGGACGACCTCGCTTCTCTGCGGAAGGCCCCTTACGTCCGTCGTTGGCTCACACACGCTTACGCGCGCGTGCATATAAACGGAAACCCTTCAAGTAGCCTACCATCCACCTCATGTGTACAGACACTTCTGTCACGCACGAGTGGAGGGAAACGCGTAAGATACAAGTGCACGCGTATAGGCGCACCGCGTGTAGGTGCAACCCATTGCATTTATGTACGTACGTACGTACGTACACCTACAATTCACCCCTCGTTTCGCTGGACGCGAAGGGGTGCCGAGGGGGATCCGGGGTGGCAACTCTTGAGCAGGTGCGAGCGAGTGGGTGCGTTTCTCCATGCAGAACGGAATCTACAGCGAATCCGAGACGCATTAAATAGTTTCCTCTCTTCCTTTCTCTTGAAAACGCGCTTTTCAGCATTTTCGTGTTCATCACCGTGACGTTTGGTATCTTCATAAAAAAATTATACACGAGAATCACTATTTATGCGTCGTTTCGTAACCTGCTATCGGAACGGATGAGATACCGTGAAATATTTACGCATCAAAAGCATAATCATTGTCGTTATTATTCAAAGTTACGAGTGACATTCTGCGTCGTATCAAAGTTATGATAAGGATTTCGTAGGTACGTGAAAATTGTCAGAAAACGGCGTGAAAAGGGTCGTATTACATTCTCCATAACATTTCCGCGTGAAACTTGCGCGTGTCTGACCTCCAGTTTCTCCCCCGTCCTTCGGCCTTCATCCCTCTTTTTGTTCGTCCTTTTTGAACGCAAGTTGCGAAATCGAGATTCTTTATTTTACACCCTCTGGAATCTTTCTTTGCATTCTTCGAACATTAGTATATCTATCTTGATAAGGTATCATGATTAATATTGCGATGTTTCATGCAACATTAGGCAAAGAAGTCGATAAATTATTTAGTACGATAAATCGTCATAACAAACAATCGATTTATCCATTTTATGTAACTTCAAATAATAATTTATTTCAAAGATATCTTTTAAACAATAATTCCTTTTTTCTTTACTGAACATTTTATACGATTTACAGTAAAATGATTATTTTTACTGAACACAGCGACATAGGTAAATCATAAACGACAAAGGTAAATGAATTGTCTTCGTTATTCATTCGCATATTAATATCACGTAGAAAAGATTTGCTGTTATATTATATAATTACGAGATTTTCTTCCGCCGTCCTTTTCTCATTGAAGTACTTATATTGTATAAATAATCTTAACATACAACTATTTGTTTTGAAACATCCCCTAAATAAAATTCTCACATATTGTTGAAACAAAAAAAATAACATTAATTAAAAACTATACGTAGAATTAATAATCTGTGATAATAGCGCGCAATTTCGCGATCTATCTCTGTAGAATGCTTAATGAATCAGTGATCGAGGATGCTAAAACATAAATAAAAAATATTCGAGATGATTTTGCTATAATCAATAAAGTATATAAAAGATTCGTATATATAAGTATTTAAATGTACGATGCGAGTAATGATATCGGTATAGCGACATCTCTCGCTGAAAGATTTTCCATCTATCAATCGCAGAGAAACACGTTGAGTGCGTTCATTGACGCATTTAACAGAATTATGCTGTTCGTGATTCGCAATTAACAATTGCAATTAACGATAAACTGACAACGTGTATCCGCCTCTGTCTTACACCGCTGGTAATACGTGTCGCGATACACACTTTTACTCGGGTACACACCGTTCATAGAACACTACATTATCGGTATCCACTTTCAATGCTGTTGCCAGGCGCGCTCTATGTCGCAAAATTACAATCGTGAAGAGACTAACGTACACGACCGCATTTAATAGCGTTTACCCCCTGAAATTAACCCTTTCACGCTATAGCACGACGCCGTAGTCGCAGTATCCTTAGAAATTCGGTATGATCTGGCACGAGCAACCGTGTGGAAACCAGAATAAATCGGTGTAAAGTCGATTTCCGCTTCCCTCGAGTGCGACTAGTCTCTTTTGCACGAATTGTTGCTGGCATCTACTCTTGTACCCCTCCGGAATGGAGCATATACCGTCGCACACGTCATTCCTAAAAGCACAAAGAGAGGATTGATATTTTCTCATTCTCGGCCTTTCTTAAGTTCATCATCTGATACGATGGTTCTAATGTGACATAAAAACATGACCTCTCCAGAATTAATATCACTTAGAGTAAACGTGAAAATTAAAAGTAAAACGCAAATTAAATTAGAGTGATTTCTCTACAAATATTACAAGTATCCATCGTGGCCCTCTGTGTTAGATTCATTGTTAAGACAAAAAAGACAACACAAACACTAATTCTCTGAGCATACTTACAAACATTTCTCACTTCTGACGAGCTGCGAATACTTGTTTTGTCCAGGAATGTTAACAACATACATCCAATTACCCTCTTTGTTCAAAGCGGCTCGAGGAGCGATATATTGGGCTCGTGTGGGACACAGAGAGATGATTTCCGAATCCGACTGCCTTTTTACTCGGTCGCCCTTAAGTTTTGCGTATCCCAATAACGGGTTTACGCTGTAACTTCGCGGTGCTATCTTGTCACCTCGCGAATACCTATTATTTAAGACAAGGTATAAATATATACAGTGAGTGCAAAGAGTATACGTACAGCTGATCTTTTTTATAAAAATCTTTTTGGAAAAAAATAAACACTAATTAATAATTTTATACAATGAATACGTTTCGTTTTAATGTAGAATAGAATTTATTTATCTTAGCTTACGTTACCAAAAGGGACTTCCGTCCTAATATAAACAAGAGACCTTTGCATGTGCCTGATTTTAAAAACTAAATTTCTCGACTGTACGAATACTTTTTGTACATCCAAACAATGTTTCATTTTCGTTTATTTTTAAGATAACATGTTTTAATTATTACATTTTAGATCAAATAATTTTAGAAAAGGAACTGATTATTTTATTTTTTTGTGAATAAATTGCTAATTGATGTTTACTTTTTAAAAATAAGATTTTTGAAAAAGATATCTGTACGAATATTTTTTGCACTCACTGTATATATATAGTAGGCGTATGCAAGGAGAAGTCATCATTTTTAACTTCTCCGTGTGATATTTCGTACCTATTCGTCAGCCACGATTGGTTTGACTCAAATACGTTTATAGATTCTTGCGAATGGGCACGCTCGATTTGTCGTTGGATGTCGTGATGATACTTCAACGTTACTTCCGGAAGAAAAGGATTTCTTTGCAAGTATGGCGATGCAGAATATTTGTAACTACAATTCGACAAATCGAAATTCTAACTTCGTACATTAATATCATTTTAGTTTGCTTGTATCATTTGTATCTTTTCATCTAATTTCATCTCATCTCGTACAGATAATATAAATAATTTGATATATGAACATGTAATAAACTTTACCCATGATAACGACTATTATTGGATGGAGGTCCATACACTGGAGCTGGCTCTCCTCCAAGAGGAGACTGCGAGTATAATTGACTATCGTCTTGTCGTGGATAATCATAGCCTTGATTATAATCCGGTGGAGAACTTAGAAATGATAATAAAAAGGATATATGCAAAGACATCAATAACATTCAAATAAATAATTGAGACGTATCTAAGCAAAATATTATGCCATTTTGTAATTTTCCAAGTAAAAGAAAAAACTCATTTTCTTGAAAACTACTTCAAAAATTATCGTAATAGCTAAAGATAGGAATAATCAGTCTCTGCAAAAGATTTAAATTTTTAATTCTAATTTTTAAAAAATCGTGTTAAATTTGTTAAAAATTCAAATGTAAGTTAAAGTAAAAATGCAAATCAAAACGTTACTTTCCAAATAAAAATGTCAGTCAAAACATTGTAAGTCCAAGTAAAAATGCCAATTGCACAATGGACATACAACGTTTATATGTGTAAACTCTCCGTTTATAGCACTTTTCAAATATGTGATAGAACACAATATTTACAGTTCATGCAATAAAATATATTTTTACAATTTTGACACTTAAAATGTTTTGTTGTGACACATCTCAATTATATAATATGTCAACGTCTCTAATGATAAAAATGAGTAAGTTATTCGTACTTATCTGAGTCTCTTGTGTGTATAAGTTTCTTTTACATATATATATCACAATATTCCAGTTGTACTGAAAATATACCTGTAAGCGTTAAAATCATTGCGGGATTCATCTTGCAGCGCGGTGTTAAAGTCGAAGCTGCATTTGTCGACGAGAAACTTGATGAGTTGTCTAAAAAAAAAAAAAAAAGGAAAAGAAAAATAAAAAGGAAAAAGAAAGAAACCGTTACCTCTGCCGAGAATACAATGCGTTGATAAAAACGGGTAATGCATTCTCTCGAGGATATTACATTCGACCTTTGGCCTCGCGCGCGAGCAGAGATCTTGCTGCAACGCATATCAAAGATACCGCCCATTCTGTCTCTCGACTGGACAACGACCAAGATTCGTCTCTCTTCCAGGTTGACAAAAGGTTATTTACGCAGGTGCGTTCTCAATTGGGCATTGCGCAACTGTGTTAGGTCTGAGCAAGCATTAGTGAGGCGAGATGCAGTATGTTTTGTTTGCGGCGAAATGACACGCGCGACGTCGCGCCGTGAGCGATAGCTAAGCCGACTTGAGTCAGCAATTTGATATTGTCAGTCTAATTGACCGTTGCTCAGGTCTTTCTTACGCATGTATATTGGAAGTGATAGCTGTCGTAGTCCCAAGTTTCTCCAATTCAAATTATTCACCTTGCTGCGGTAGGATCATTGCAACTTGTCGAAAAAAAAACCCTATCTTATTTCACTATACGGCGCTGAAAGATTCTGAAATTGCACGAGACAGTATTAGCAATATTTCTGAATTGTTAAAAAAAAAAAAATTTGTTTTGTACGTTAAAATATCGCGATTTTTATTTGTGCACTGTCCGCTTCATTAATTATTTCCTGCAAATTTGTCCACAATCTTGTACGATTCGCGAATGCTAGATACGAGTGTTATCTATTGAAATATTTGAAGTCGTTTCGAAAGAACAATTTGTCTAGTGGAGAAGAAAGAAAAAAATCGGCGTTTTTGATGAGGTTCGATTTAGGACTACTATAACGGCCCAATAATTATTCAACAAAGTATGATCGCGCCAAGGCCATGGTCATGGTACGCTGAGCAACGATCTCATGGACGTTCTTGCATTATAGTTGCCGCTCACTTTACGTAACTCACCCTAACATCTTCAGAATAGGAGTGAAAGTGCACGCAAAAATTTAGGAAATCGACTTACAGTCGAATTGCATGTGTAGCAGGAGAACAGCACAAGCGGAGAGTAACTAACGAACGCTCGAACATTTCGTGTCTATGATTCCATTGCGGCAAAGATGGAGTTCTCTCGGATCACGTTTATCAAAAACGAAAGACAAAAATCATTTTATGCTAAGCGAGAGTCTAGCATAAAAAATTGGTTGTGCAAAGCTATTAAGGCAAAACTCGATGCTTTCGAGAAACGGATTCTCACTTCAAAGAAAGAGAAGAGAGTTAGCAGACTTTCCCCTCCAGAAGTTTTTCTCAACGTGTGCGTCGGTCATTTGTATGCATGGAAGAAGGCGGAAGATGGACATAGTGGACGCGGCGAAAGGAATATTAACAATTGAAAATGGGTCGACCGGATCATCGCAGATTTCCACTTGTTGCGTTACCATTCGCCGCCGGCTGGACAGCGATATTTTTAGGAGAAAAGAGGGACGAGGAGTACGAAGGGCACTTACCGAGGATAATGATCTGGGGTTTCGCAGAAGGTCTGCCCCGGTGGCGCGCATTGGGGGGTGAGTCCTGGAGGCGCGGGTACGAAGGGTTCGTACTGCGGCCGACCTGGACATCCGTACTCCGTACAAGGTTCACCCCAGGTAACCATTAAGAAAAACTGTTGGTACAAACAAGACATCACAATACAGACATCATAATAATATGATTCAGAAGAAGACGTACTTTGAAATATTAAAAGGTGCCTATTTTTTAATTTCTTTCTCGATTATTAAGTTTGTATATGTAAAAATATTCATTTCCTTTGTATACGTATGTAAAAATATAGTTTACGCACATTTTGCATTTACGATCAAATACACATAGATGAAACACGAGATCTTCACTAGTGTTGACTAAGCGCAATGTATAATGTGGGACCAGTTATTGTGAAATATTGCACCGACTTGTAATTGATCGCTTATCAGGATACTTCCTGTACTATGCCTATGGTATAAACGCGTGCTTTTTACGACGGTATTAATCGGCTCTGATTCAGCCTACACGTAATTCGATCGACAGATAAAAATGCGTTAGCTATTAATCAAGATGAGTCAATGCGGAAATCGCGATTAGAAAGATGTACAACGTACAATTAATAGAAAGAACGTTACATCATATTTAAATACAGCTTCTTAGATATTCTACTATGATCGGCGATTGATTATTTTTAATATTATGTTAGACCGATCACTTACGATTGATATTAGATGCCACGCGAACGCCATTTCGATCTATCGTTATGATTCACCCCTTCGTGATAGAACCTTCTCTCCTGTAGTGAGCACGGCAGGTGTCTCGGCAGGAAGGAGGCCGCGAAGTCACTTAATTGGCATCGCGTGCTGATCAATCGCCGTGCCAATGTCACCGCCGATAAACGATAACCCGACCCGACCCAGGATTGCTACTCAGATGGATGATCGTAAGAGACAGAAAACCCCCATTAAGGACAAAATCAAATTGAGTTCTGCGTTCGATATATTATACCTTTTTATGAATTTTTCAGATAAACGACAGCTTCTGTTCGTTGGCCGAATCTCGTTCCGCGTTGACTTTGCGGACTTTAAGAGATTTGCCGAAAGAAGGCAAATCTTAATCCAATTCGGGATTGATCACCCGTCTTCTCTAGACGCTACTGTTGTTGCAATGCGCGTGGCTCGTTGTCGCACCGACTATGATAGAGTATGGGTTAATGAGCGTCCATAATGAGCGTCTTTCCACTTTTGGCCAGCGTGATTCGAAAGTGTCCACGACACTGGGTCCAGATACTGGCGTGATTCGGTTCTACGCGCCGCGAGTCTACCTAGCAACGTGAGATACGTGGGTATACCTGTGCGTTGGCCCCTTCCTCGGGCGACGTGCACGAGTTCTGTGGTGCTCAGGGTGGGGTAGGCGGACACATACTTTCACTGGAATACGTGCGGCGAGGGATTCATCGACCTTATGACAGCGTGAACTAAGGTTTTTTCTCCGGATGACACGGATACATCTTGATTATGTGACGGAGCTAGTGCGTCAGGAAAGAGAAAGAGAAATGCTATTTCTTATACTGAAGCTCAGTATAGTAAAGTTTAGTAGACAGAAATCGTTAAAATTTCTTTTCTTTTACACGAGATATATGCATATACGTGTCTCTCATTGTAAGTTCTTAAGAAGATAGATTGCCTTTTAGTGAAAATTTGAAATCATTCGTTGTAAGATAACAACGACAAATATTTAAAAATTGAGCGAAAGTAACGTTAAATACATTGAATATTCTTGTTTTAATAAAATAGTTGATCTAAAAAATTAAGTTATATTAAGAAGGAAATATTATAAGGAAATTAAATATTTGGTTCAAATATTGAAAATATTCCCTTATATTTTCTTTAAATACATATAGTAGTTCGAAATATCTGGTCGTTACTTACAGGGCATTCAGTAATCTAAAATAAAAAAAGTAGTCTTATAATTGCAGAGGGGAGAAAGACATCATTACATAATTATGTTTTATTATTATTTGGAATTTTTATTTGGAACTCCATCTCTATAATATTTTGAATATTATAGAGTCAATTTTTTTTACGATACATAAAAATTGCTGCTAAAACATTATAATATAAGGATTTAAATAATCATTTGCGTTTATTGCAGACAGAATTACGACTAGAATATAAAAATGAATCATTTTTTATGATTCAGAAAGATAAAGCGGCCTACATGAATTCCTTCATTTGGCTTAATCTACGAAAATTAACATTCAAATATAGCGGTTTTACAGCCATGTTCATTTTTAGGTTGGAGTTGCGCTTGTGATACTCATGATGGCGCTTGAAGTGCATGCTCGCATTTAGCACAGGACTGTGTTATCTACTGAGAAATACTCATGTTAGGACTGCTAAGTTGTATCTGCCGCATTAGAGTTGCTGACACATTCTCATCCATTCCAACTTTTAACATAACCCTCCCTGCGGCAACAGTCGGCTCGTTCATTCTCTTGGAATCTCTGCATATGCGAAACGCGATTACCCAGCTCGCGTTATATTGCCCGAACGGATCGTGTGTTTAAAGGGGATCTCCTGATGTGAATGGTGCTTAAAGTTTGTTGGTCGCTAAAACGTTTCTTGCCCGTTGTGACGACTTGTTAATCGTTGTCGGCGTAATCATGGCGGCGACCTCCTCACGAGTAGATGATCTCGTGCAATCTGTCAGCTTGCACAATCCACGAAAATGGATGTTCAATGGTTACATCCTGCCCTTCGTGATGCTACAGTCCTTGTGGATCTACTGTTGGATCTTCGTTTATGGCGTTGACGAATATTATGACGCGGGCCTGGTGGGCATCGCAGCGATCGGCGTGCTGCAGATTTTTCTGTGCTTATGCTGTCAATGGTCGGTGCACATCCATACGTTCATAAACTGCAGCTCCGTAAGTGGCAATTATCCTTCAATTTGCCTCAAATAACGGGCACGTGGCTCTTCGTGGCCTCAATATGTTCTATAACTTGGTAGCCATTTGAACGCCCGGTCGTCTGCTAGATTCGGTCACGTGACATCTCGGCGGTACATTCGAACATCGCGAAAGATGAGCCTTGAGCATGGAATCTCACTTGAGCGTTTTGTTTTGCGATATTCCTTTCTTCTATTCCGTAAATAAAATTTCAGGAGGAAGATCCACACAAAGCCAGGATAGTTAAAGTAGTTCCCACCCCAAACAACGGCAGCTCGGAGCTGATTTCATTACATCACACGGATGAACAGGAACCTTGGTTCATTTTTCAAAAGACAAAATATTACTGGGACCCGGATAAAAGATCATTCAGAGGGTTGCAGTTCCCAATCAATCATTCCGTGAAACATTATTCTGAATGGAAAGGGTATCTGGATCAAAACGAAATTAAGAAAGCAGAGGAAAAATATGGGAAAAACAAGTATAGTGTGAACAATTCCTTGCATCAATTCCTTGCAAGGCATCTTTTATCTCGCTGAAAATATTGTTTTTTTTTTTTACTCTAGATTGGACATGGTTGTACCAGAATTCTGGGAGCTCTTTAAAGAGCGCGCTATTGCTCCGTTCTTCGTATTTCAAGTATTCTGTGTGGCACTATGGTGCTTAGATAAATATTGGTATTATAGTATCTTTACATTGATCATGCTTATCATGTTTGAGTGTACACTGGTGCAACAACAATTAAGAAATATGGCCGAGATTCGTAAAATGGGCAATAAACCTTACATGATAATGGTATGAATACGAATACTGTTTGCTTGCGATTTGCTTATTTCGGGCCACGCAATTTCGTTCACGCTTATTTTTTTTTCTTTTAGGTGTATAGAAATAGACGATGGCGCTCATCATTTACAGACCAACTAGTTCCTGGAGATATTGTCTCTATTACAAGGCCTCAACATGATAATTTAGTGCCATGCGATATGTTGCTTTTGCGAGGCCCCTGCGTGGTTGACGAAAGCATGTTAACAGGTACTTTAAACAAGCTAGTAATGTGTTTAAACAGACATTGATCATAGCAACTGAAAGAGAGAAATGTTTAGGTGAATCTGTACCTCAAATGAAAGAACCTATAGAAGATATTGACGGAAATAGAATTATAGATATCGAAGGAGATGATAAACTTCACGTGCTTTTCGGTGGTACAAAAGTTGTACAGCATACACCTCCTAGCAAAACTACTCCCGGTCTTCGAGGTATTATTAATAAATTTTATTTTTCATTTATAACGTTCTCACTCACTTTATTATTGTTTACAACATTAATGCATGATATTACAGCGACCGATAATGGGTGCATTGCTTACGTATTACGTACCGGCTTTTCCACGTCACAAGGAAAACTTTTAAGAACGATATTGTTCGGCGTTAAACGCGTTACAGCCAATAATTTAGAAACTTTCGGCTTCATTCTATTCTTACTTATTTTTGCAATTGCTGCCGCCGCATATGTTTGGATCAAAGGTAATTCAATTACATATAAGAGTGAGAACTATGATAAATATTTACATATACAAATTTCGATTTTAGGCAGCGAGGATCCTACAAGGAACAAATATAAATTATTTTTGGAATGTACATTAATTTTGACATCTGTTGTACCACCAGAGTTACCTATAGAATTATCTCTGGCTGTAAACACGTCTCTGGTAGCTCTATCCAAATTAGGTAAAATAGATTTACTTTACGAAAGCTTAAGGATGTAAAACATTATGAAAAAATTATAAATTTTTCTATTGCATTTTAAAGTAATACGAAAAGTTTGATAGCGATTTAAGAACTTGAGTCAAAAATAATTTCAATAAGAAATATATGTAATACATCTTTAATTTTCCTATGAAAATTACGCATGAAAATTGCTATGCCTCTTTGCAGGTGTATTCTGCACGGAACCGTTCAGGATTCCATTTGCCGGCAAAGTTGATATTTGTTGTTTCGATAAGACCGGTACACTTACTAGTGATAATTTGGTTGTAGAAGGTATCGCGGGGATGAAGTAAGAAACTACTATCCGTTTTATTGTCTTCGAATAATCTTTTGCGCTATTAGAAAAGGTGATTTTAATCTTTTACTTTTTAAGCGGTAAGCCAGACGTGGTCCAAATATCAGATGCACCTTTGGAGAGCATCCAAGTACTCGCCACGTGTCATTCTCTTGTTCAATTAGACGATGGTATCGTTGGAGATCCACTAGAAAAAGCAACTCTCAAAGCTATCAATTGGAATCTCACGAAAGGTAGATATAAATTTGCAAATAAAATACAATACAAACATATTAATACGCTACTTCATGCTAATGTTTCATTTAGGTGATTCTGTAATTCCTAAAAAAGGCAAATCTTCCGCATTGAAGATTGTACAGAGATATCATTTTTCATCAGCTTTGAAAAGAATGTGCGTTGTGGCTGGATATAATATTCCTGGAGCTTCAGACATACATTACATAGCTACGGTAAAAGGTGCGCCAGAAACATTGAAGAATATGGTGAGCAAAATAATATTTGTCCACAATTTTAATTGATTTTTGTGTTTGTTGTAATTGATATAATCTGTTTCATTTCAGTTATCTTCTGTGCCAGAAAATTACGATTCAATCTATTTGTCTCTTTCACGACGCGGTGCAAGAGTTCTCGCTTTGGGCTATCGAAAACTTACTGGTAGCTTCTCCTCTCAAGAGTTAAGAGAATTAACTCGTGAAAAGTTGGAGAATAATCTCACATTTGCGGGATTTGTCATCATCAGCTGTCCTCTTAAATCTGACTCGAAAGCTGTTATTAAAGAAATCGTCAATTCATCACATTCGGTATGTAGATGACGCTTTGTTGAGATGTTGAAAGAAAAGTTTCAAAAAAAATTTTACATAATTACCAAAAAAACGAGTTTTATATAATTATTTAGGTCGTGATGATAACGGGTGACAATCCTTTGACGGCTTGTCATGTAAGCCGCGAGCTACATTTCACGAAGAAACCTAGCACACTTATACTAACCAAAAATGATGGCGAATGGTTGTGGGAAAGCATAGACAAAAAGACGCAGCTCCCTCTAAGCATGAAAAATATTGAATCGCGAAAAGAGATCTGGAAAGAATATGCGCTTTGCGTGACGGGTGAAGTATGTAAATGAACAAAAATGTCGATTTTTTTTACAATGATCGTTTGTTATTGCATAATTAATTTTTCTAGGGTTTATCGTATCTGAAGGAAAAAGAACGGGGACTTCTTTGGAAACTCTTGCCGCACGTCATAATATTTGCACGATGTGCACCGAAGCAAAAAGAATTCATTATTATATCGTTACAATCTTTAGGTTATACGACGTTG